CTAGGCGCGCGCACCCCAGGTGCCGTGGCCAACGCAAGTCCGATGCTCAACTTCGAAGCGCGAGACGAGCGTCAAATCGACGCCAGGATCCGTTCAGTACCACCGACGATGCCACCCCGCTGCCGTTGCATACCGCCCTTGCGCAGATCACATGAAATAACGGCCCTGGAGTTCCATTCGGGAGCCGCGGGGTCCTCCGCGGCGGCGCCAAACGGCGCCTTGATGTCAGACTTGCCGCGGTTGCTGACGACGCCTGCCTCGCGGTTGGCGCGCCAACGGCCCTCCGCACCTGGGGCCTTGACTGCTCCAGGAGGCGTTGAGTGAGGATCTCGCTGCGGATGGTCTGGGGATTCGCACAGGCTCGCGAGGATGTCAGTGTCCCGATCGCCGACGGACATGGCAATGAATCGCCGCCACTGCCCGTCCTTCTTGAAGTGCCAGAATGCAGCGGTGGCCCACTTGGCCGCGAGCCCAACAGCGCCCCCATGCGGATGGTGCGACGGCAACCAGGGGACGGGCATACTCCAACTCTCACCGTCGAGCCACGCTTTGAACGGTGACGTCAGTGGTAACGGTATCCGTGCAGATGGCGGCGAAAACGCTCTTGTCGAGGACGCGAGTCCACTCGCCAACGTCGCCGATGTGCTGCGCGGGGGCCGCCTCCTCACAGACAGCCGACGCGTGCTGGGGGTCCTCGATCTGCGCGCGCCTCTGCAAGTGCTCGCGTTGCATATTGGGGGCGCTGTGGCCCAGGTCCGTTGATTGGCCGTCGATGTGTTCGTTCCTGTCAGCCTGGCGCTCGCCGAACAAGCGGAACGCCACGGCAGTGAGTTTGGTGATGTGATCGGTGAAGGTTGCGTTCGCCTTCTGGACAATGTCGACGGTCACGCATGGCGCCCAACATCGTCCCCAGCCCAGAATCCAACGCGGGACCATCGACGGAAGCGGCAGCCCTCGCGGAGGAACCAAGACCCAGCGAAAGCGAAGCGCGTCTGGGGCGGCCACTGCGCGGGGTTGCGTGGACTTTTGCGAATGGAGTAATGGAGATCTCACGTTCTCCATGCCGAGGCTGCGAAGGATCAGCACCATCGAGAAATAGGATTCGGACCTTTCCTGCCACGACCCTATGGCACACGCGCCTCTTGCGAACAATCGCCACGGAGTAAAACATCACTTTGTCCAGCACGCCTGTGGGAAGACGAGCATTCGGGCATTCCCTCCGCAGGAGTGTGTGGCAACGGGAACGCGTTGAACGGCATGGCCATGAGGCGAAAACGTACGAAGCATCAAAAAAACATACTGAGCACCGCGGGGTCGCCCGACACTGTCGTATGATTTCAACATGTATACATTACTTTGCAGAACATAGAGCGCACCACATGTACTGCACTGCGTAGCTTGCACAACAAAATGCGCACGACTGAATGCACGAGATCTGTTGCACAGCCGAGACTGCATCACACCGGTTGCACACTCTGCGTTGCACAACGTGGACTGCGAGAACACAAACATGCACTGTTCGGGGCCCACGCTGGCTAACACTTCTCCCCCTGCTAAACAACCCACCATTTTCCGCCCCGGCAGGGCCAGCAAGACGTTTCGCCTGAGACGTCCTGACCACCTGCTTTCCTGAAAATTGAAGCGTGCGGTTTCTATTCAAGATGTGTGGCTTCTATTCAACAGGTGGGCAATGTTTAAAGTGTGGCTCCCGCATGTGCCGCGCGCAATCGTCCTACAACATTACAAGAACTTTACGGATGTAATGCCGGCCGTTTTCGAAATGTAGCTCTCGCTTCAGCGCCGCGCGCATTCGTCTTAATACTTTGCGAGGGTATCACGGATTCGGTGATCACATCCCAGGATCTGCTTTCTTGAACGACTCAAGATGTTTAAACGGTTGTCTTCCAACGGGGCACTTCTCCCAGTGAAAGTCAATCCTTGTAGAGACCTGTGAAGAAGGAGTGAGAAGGTTTATTGCAACAACGTTGACAGGTCTTGGGTTACACTTGTCCAACTCATCCTCTTCCTTGTCCTCCTCGTCCTTTTCCTCCTCCTCCTCCTCGTCCTCCCTCCTCCTCTTCCTCCTCCTCCTCCTCCTCCTTCCTCTTCATCCTCTTCCTCCCTCTTCCACCCAAGTCGCCATAAGCAGCACTTCCGTCTGACTCCCGAAGCGCGGACGTACTCGCCGGACGTTTCACACAGCTTCGGTCGATGGGACCAGCAGTGGTCGAACTGGCCCGAGAGATACCGCTGACAAGCTGTGTCTGCGTTTGGGATGATGACGACATTTCCATTGTTTGACGATGTCGGATCTCAGGGTAGACAAAGCGAATCCGTACGCCCTTTTCGTTGGCGATAAGCACATCCGTACCCATAGCCTCGCGACCCCGCGGATACGGGGCGTCGTTTCGCTTTTCGCGGATACCCCGCGCGCAGCGTATCCGAACGACCAGGTACCCGCGCGACCGCGTGTACGCGGGATCGCGCCCCGGAATCCAGACCGCGAGGGCGTGGATATGGATTGATGGGCCTGTTTTGAGTTGGAGGGGAAGGAGGTGGCGGTGGAGGACGAGGAGGAGGACGAAAAGGAGGAGGAGAAGGAGGAGGAGGAGGTGAAGGAGGAGGAGGAGGAGGAGGACCCGCTCACCCTCCAACTTATGGTGGTGGTGGTGGTGGAAAACGCGCCCATCATGGATACGCTCGCCGCTCGTGACTTTGTGCTACGAACGGCCCTCGGAGCCAACCTGCGCAGCCGCTGCAGCCGCCGGCCGCCCAGACCCGACACGGCCAGCCCCCAGAGATGCGCAGCCCGCACGCGGCCCTGCGCTGCCCTCCTCCCTCCTCCCTCCTCCTCCTCCTCCTCCTCCTCTCCCTCCTCCTCTTCCTCCTCCTCCCTCCTCCTCCTCCTCCTGCTGCTCCTCCTCCCTTCTCCTCCTCCTCCTCCTCCTCCTCCTCCTGTTGCTCCTCCTCCTCTCCCTCCTCCTCTTCCTCCTCCTCCCTCCTCCTCCTCCTCCTCCTGCTGCTCCTCCTCCCTCTCTCCTCCTCCCCTCCTGCTCCTCCTCCTCCCCTCCTCCTCCTCCTCCCTCCTCCTCCTCCTCCTCCTCCTCCTCCTCCTCTCCCTCCTCCTCTTCCTCCTCCCCCTCCTCCTCCCTCCTCCCTCCTCCCTCCTCCCCTCCCTCCTCCCCCCTCTTCTTCCTCCGATCGGGTGTGAGCCCGAGCGCCGCGCGCGTGTCTGCTTCTTGTTGCCTTCTGGCGCTGGACCGGTCCCTGCGCTGCCCTGGAAAAAGGCAGTGCAACTTGAGTCATCGATTTTGATGGGCCTGTTTTCCACCGCCACCACCACCAGAAACTGGAGGGGGCCTCCACCTCCTTCCCCCCTCCAACTTGTGGTGGTGGTGGTGGAAAACAGGCCCATCAGACTTGCTTGCTTCCGTCGCCCTCGGTTTGTCGTCGTTGGTAGGCCTGCGGGCACCGCTCTCGGGCCCTAAGACCCTCAAAAATGGATCGGGGATCAAAAACTACCCCCGTGGAGGTCTCCCAGACATGATTCTCCGACACGACCTACAGGAGTTGCATTATTTTTCCAGAGGGGTGTAGCCTGACAGCTGCGGGCGAGGCGCAAGGAACCGAAGTATGAACGTAGTCATGGTGCAACCATCGCACAAGAATGAATGAACATGCTTTCCTGGTCGCGGCGAGCCTCGGCCACTAAGAGCCTTCCCGACACGGATCTGAGGAGCGGCCCCGAAACCAGAGACCCTTCTGAGCCACAGGTGTTGCTTATTACATCACCTCGAATATATCTACAAACAGGCAGCCACCTAGGCTTAGGTCGGACATGTCCGCCTACAGGCCGATCTCGGACGAAAAAGAGAAAATCAAAATATACTTGAAAATTATCAAGCATATAAGAAAAACCGTCCCCATACTATGTTTGACTATTCTTGAATTTCCCCCTGTAGAGGACACGCCGGCCTTAAACCTAAGCTTGGCTTGGCAGCCGTCAAGGGTCCACCCGCACGACCGGAGTTGACTCTGAGCAGGTTGAGAGTGGCAGCAGCTAGATCCAGAGCGGCTTCAGAATCTCAGCACACGGGTCCATGTCGATATCGGCACCCCTGGCCTCCCTCCGACTCGTTTCCCCCTCTGCGTCCAAGACGCACTCCTCGCAGTTGCCGCCGATGCCATCGTGTTCGTCGTCCTCGCCACGCTCCCCTCCCATGAATTATCTCTTCTGTTCCTCCTCCTCCTCCTCCTCCTTCTCCTCCTCCTCCTCCCCCTCCTCCCCTCCTTCCTTCTCCTCCTCCTCCTCCTCCTCCTGATCATCATCATTTGCAGCAGCATATCATCATCAGCATCCTCAGCATCAGCATCATAGTCAGGATCATCACGATGATGATCATCATCACCAGCATCATCATCAGTCTAATCAGCACCATCATCACCCTCATCGTCCTGTTTCTTCGCTTCCTCCTTCTCCTGGTCCCTACCATCATCATCGTCATCAGCAGCAGCATCTTCAGCAGCAGCAGCAGCAACAGCATTAGCATCACCATCAGCAGCAACATATGCAGCGTCATTATCATCCGCAGCATCATCATCATCATCAGCAGCAGCAACGGCAGCGTCATTATCATCATCCGTATCATTATCATCATCACCATCATGGTCATCATCATCATCAGCAGCAGCAGCATCAGCATCATCATCACCACCAGCATTACCATCATCATGCAAAGCTGTTCAACTTCTCTCCCTCCTCCTCCTTCTTCACCTCATCCTCTTCTGCATCCTCCGCAATATGATTATCCTCGGCGTTCCAGGGTCTTCTCTTATGTCGTTTCCTCCTGCTCCCTCTCATCCTCCTCCGCTTGCTCCCCCTGCTCCTGTACTCTTCTTGCCCACCCTCACGCCGGTCGGCTCTTACCTTTCCCCCGTCGCCCCTCCTCCTGCGCATCCTCCCTCACCACCCCAGGCGCGCAAAACGCTAGGTCCAAAGCCGTTCTGGTGAACTCCTGGTACGTCGTCCTCAGGAGAGGGGGGAGCCGAAGAGGACGAGGAGGAGGATGAGAAGGAGAAGGAAGAGGAGGAGGAGGAGGAGGAGGAGGAGGAGGAGAAGAGAGGAGGATAAGGAGGAGGAGGAGGAGGAGGAGCAGGAGGAGGAGAAGGAGGAAGTGGAGGAGGAGGAGGAGGATAATAAGAATAAGAGAGCAGGAGGAGGAGGAGGAGGAGGAAGAGGAGGACAACGAGGAAAAGGAGGAGGAGAGAGGAGGAGGAGGAGGAGGTGGAGGAGGAGGACGTGGAGGAGGAGGAGGACGTGAAAGAGGAGGAACATGAGGAGGAGGAGGAAGAGGAGGAGGAGGAGGAGGCGATCGGGGAGATCGGATCGGAACCAGTCAGCATCGTTGACACAGCTGGCTAACAGCACCCCCCTGTGGGGGTGGCTCACAGTAGCAGTCTACTTGAGGGTCTTCTATTTTACCCTTCTTACACAAGGAATTGGCAACGCCCTGTCCCACCACAAGCCCCTCCCTTCGGCACGGGGTGGGATCGGCCACGGCTTTCCTGGCTTGGGGAGGAGGCGCTTCTTAATTCGGTTCAAATAGTTCTTGCCCGAGGGGGTGCAAACCTTCAAACACGGCTCTGACAGCAACAGGAGCCTACCCGTCTCGGTTGCCACGTTCCCGTAACGACCGCTCGTCCAGCGCCATACAAATCCATGCAGCATCCCGCAAACGTGGGAGTTGTGGAGTTCTTTGGTCCAGGCGCAGACCAGGCTGGTGAGCCCGGGGACACCAGGATAGGGGTCCCAGCCTCGCTGCGGATTCTATTCAGGGGGTTCCCACTACAGCGTGATCCTTCGAGCCAGTCAACCAGCGAGGCCCTGCCAGGGCCCAACGGACACCCACGGGGAACCCATCTCCCCGAGCCCAAACGGCCCAAAACTTGCCCAGGCGATTTTTTCCAGGTCGACCACATGCCTGGAGGCCCCCCTTCTCCCCCTTCGGCACGAATTTGGCGGGGCGGTCCTGCCTGCGAGCGGCCTTCGCCGCCTGCCAGGCTGTCAGCGCCGCCGTCCGCTGGTGCATTCGGGTGGCCATGGCGTCGCCTGCGCGCAGGGCGAGGACCTCCGAGCGGATCGCCCTCGAGGCCTCCTCAGCCCCAAGCTGTGCAAAACTGTCAGCCACTCCGCTACCTCTCAAAACGTTTGGGCATTGGCTCACACGACGGTGCGAAGCAACATCTAAGTCGCTGTAGCACTTCTGAAGCACCACAAAACCCTCGCGGTTCCGCCAGGCTTCCGCCACGCGCTCCCACCAGCGCCGTAAACTTCCGCTCGGCCTCTCCAAGGCGCCAGCCATCAAAGACTACCCGACCGTCAGTAGAAATCACCGCGCCGCCTCGCGTGAGAAGAAAACTCACTCCACCACAGCGCCGCCATTTCCGATGCTGGGACCAATTGTTTACCGTCGACTCCTCCGTACCCACCATGGGGACGGGGAAGCGCCCGAGGGCGTTTGGTCCAGGGGGGGGGAGAGGAATTAGAGACCCCTGCCCCTGCTGGATGCAAGCTCCCCACCCCGCACGGCATTCGCGTCGGTCCGAAGACGACCCCGATCCGTCCAGGAAAACCACACTGGCAGCAAGGCGCGCGTGGCCCGAGGGCGGGGCTCCGCTGGGGCCCAGGGCGGGGCACGGGGCGTCGACAGCTAGCCGCGTTCCAGGCACGGTGGTCTCCCCAGACTGGCGGCGGCAGGACCGAATTCCAGCCGGCAGGGGCAATGCCCCGCAACCACGGGGCAGCGTTCACACCTTGATCGAGTTCCCTCGCAGCTCTTTCGCACAGTCCTTGGGTCTTGGTGACCCATGGATGTTCGCATTGCGAGGCGGCAGGGCATTCGTACAATCGGTGCCTGATGTTGTCATCCACCCCTAGACCGCATTGTTTGCGCAGTCTGGCGGTCTGGCACCCTGCCCGACGAAGGCGGGCCCCGGTCCAATGGGTGCAACGGGCTACACTCTCGAGGGCCCCTGCCCCCTGAAACATGAGTTGACTTGTGCGTGCGGGCGGCGCCAATGCGAAGCATCGTGAGATCCCCCCTCCAGCCAACGGTGTCCCTCCAGCGTGATGTTCCGCCTGGGCCCCAAGCATTCGGGTGCTAGTCTCGCCCAATGCTTCGCGCAACTCGGCCGGGCCCCCGTCCGCGTCGGGATCGAACCTCCACTCGCCCCCGTCAGGGGCCTCCCACAGACCAGGTTCGATCCCAACCCACCCGAGCTCTCGTAGCGCAACGATTAAAGCTTCCATGGGCCCCGTCGCAGCTCTCCAGCGGGCCCTGCGCTTCAACCTAGCGGCCTTAAACTTCGTGGCCACCCATTCTCTACGGGCAGCTTTCCTGCGGTCAGGATCTCGCGTCCAAAACTGGACCCACTCGTGGGCCTGCCTCTCGACGCTTTCGGACCGGGGGCCAATCCCTTCAAACAGAAGCAACATCGCGGAAGCTGCACGCCGCCGTCCCATAGGGCTGTCGCAGGGCATCCGGGCTCGGACGTTGGCACTGCGCGAGAGAAGCCTCCGTTTGCGACGGCTTCGCCGCAGGTCGCCGCGAACTCGGGCCCTGTTGGCCCTAACTCGACCCAGGCGCTCACGTTACTGCCCCGTGGTCCTGGCCCGCCTATGGCCCATGGTGTCGTCGGCCCCTAGGTCCTACATCACGTCGGTCCGACTGATGGTGATGCCTCTCTTCTCCAGCGCAGCGGATACCATGGCGGCATCCTGCTCCTCGACCGCCATGATGGTGGACTTGTTGGAGATCCTCAGTCTGGCCTCCAGACATCCATACACCAGGGCGTCCGCTGCTGCTGTGATCGCTGAGCCCGCAGCGTCTGGAGGTCCTTACACTCGAATGGCGATATCGTCCACAAGCTGTCGGATCCTTGCCATAGGTGCCACTCAATGCACTTCCTCAAGAACATGGAGTCGCACGGCACGCGCTCCGTGGTTGGCCTCGCCACAGCCTGGGGCCACGCCATTGGCCAGGGTGGTGTCGGTGCTGAATGTCCCATTCAGTTTGAAAAGACTCGGGCTCAAGTATGATGCAGTGCACATGTAGAGCTCAACTGCAGGACAATCCAGCTCCGAGGCCCTCTTGCGCAGGATGCCCAGGCCCAACAGGTCATAGCAGTTCTCCAAGTCCTGGAAGAAGCTGGCCTGGCTGGCCTCCTGGAGGCGCGGTCTGCTCTCATCCAACCTGAGTGTAACCATGGCCGCTTGCAGCGCTGAGCTGTTGCGAGCTGCCGCGTCCCCTGAAAAACTGCCAATCTATCGCACCAGTCGGTGGGCTTCTGTTTCGCCATCTTCCCCCGCGCTCTCACCGGCATCGGTGGTAGGCCAATTGGTCGTTCTTCCCCTGCCATCTGCTTTTCGCCCTCGGGTAGGGTGGCGTAATCATTCTGCATGAGTTGGCGCGGCCACTGTAGTTGCCTCTCGCACATGTTGGGGATCGGGAGAAACCCTTCCTTGCAGCTTGGACTGAGTGCACGTAGTTGATGAGGTGCCCATTGGTCGGCCCCCTTTCCTGACTTGGCAGTCAAGCTGTCCAGCGCTGACTGAGGGTTCTCGGTGGCGTGGCAAGGCCTGCCCTCGAGCTCCCCCTGTGCACGCTACTTGAGCAAATCGAGCTGGTAGTTGGTCTCATCGACTTGGTCGTTGTGATTGGTCCATCGTGCTTCCCATGCCTTCCGTCGGAGCTCGATGCCCTTGGTGGGGTCCATCTCCCGCTCCATAGTTTTCGGATCCAAGCAACCGCTGGTGAGTTGAATGGCCTCTTCTTTGGCCGGGTAGCTGTGCGCTCCCTGCGCGCCTCCTGTCGTTGCTTGTGTGGCCCAGTACCGTATCTGACGCCTCGTGTCCTGCCATGCGATCTGCGCGTGTCGTTCTGCTCGCCGGCATGCGCAGGCAATGATATCACCTTGGATATGGGACACGCCCTTCACCTCTTCCACGCCCATGGAGCGGTCGCGCGGCTGCGCCCGCCTCGGGGAGGGGGCGACGGGGTGCTCCCAGAGCTGCCCCCCTGCCCCCCCACCGGCCATCGCGCCGCTCCTCGCGACGGTCTGACCCCGCCCACGCCACCCCTCCAGCAGCGGCGCGCCCTCCGCACCTCGCGCCAGAGGCAGCCCCCTGGCGGGGGCTCGTGGCGCTCAGCGGGCCCACGGGCTTCACGGCCGCCACATCCACCCCGTCGCCCATGTCCTTGTCAAGCCCAGGCGCACGTGGCGACTTTGAGCCTGGCAGCCACAATGGCACGCCGGGACTTTGCGACCTAACGCCCGCGGCGACTGAGCCTGGTGGCACTGATGGCGCACCAGGGCTCTGCGAACTGACGCCATGCTCGACATTGTTATCATGGCCCTCCTGGTCGATGAAGTCGAACGGGTCTGGGCCCCCTTTCGCAGGTGGAGCCTCTCGGCGGCCCTCTCGCAGCTGGGCATGTCGGTTCGGCAACGCTGGCGACGCTAACCCTCCGACACCCTGACGATATCTCAGATGGGGCTGCCAAACCTCGCGTCAGTGTTCGGGTAGCACTGGTAGCTAGGCGTCTGCATGACCAAGCGTAGGATGCCGACGTATTCCGTGGTGGGTGGCGCCGTCGTGGAGCTGTTGGTGGCCGTCGAGGTCTGCTGTTGCTGTTCTGGTGGGGAACCCAGAAGCCCCCCGGGTCGCATCTGCCGTCGCGCTTCGTCCTCAAGTTGACGAGCTGCTTGTCTAGCCTGCTGAATCGCGCGGATGGCCGCATGCGTGGTGTTGGTGTTGGGGTGGCACCGCTGGTGCACTGCCAATTCACGTACTCGCGCCGCCATGGCCCCCCATGGCGCAGCAGTTAGCCTCCTTGCGCTTGGCTGCGTCCTCAAACGGCTCGGACCCTCTGTGGTGCACTGCTTTCTTCTTCTTGAAGCGTGGTACTCCTCCTCGTTGTTGCGCAGCTTGTTGGTCGGTGCCCTGGAAAAGGCCCAAGGATTGCTCCGCCGCCCTGGTCCACTGGCCGAAGTACTGGCACAGTACTTCGGCACTCTCGGGATCACGCCGGTAACTCCATGCTGCCTGCACCTCTGTGGTGGTCGACTCCACTGGCTCGTTGCGGTGGTGATGCAGCGCTTGGTGCCGCATGTCGTCCGCCACTGTCGCCTTGATCTCCTTCTCGTAGACAGCGCCCAGGAGGTAGCGGTGAATGTCGAGCTCGCTGTTGGCGGTGGGCTCGAGGCCGGTCCCGTCATCATCTTGGTGGAGGTAGGCGCGGCGCCTGTCTCGCAGCGCCCTGCCGGAGGCTTTCGGGATGCGGATCTTGCGCGTAGGGGGCCCGAACTTCACGGGCAGCCGCGGCGCTCTGATGCCGACAGCTGCAGGCCAGGCTGCGAGCGCCAAATCGAGCCCAATGCGCGGGCTCCACGGGGCGCCCCTGTATACTTTGAAATGCCTGACCAGCTGCAGGAACTGCTTCGAGCACGCGCCGCAGTCAATGAGTCTGCCCTTCCCTGTCGCGCGCGCGAAGACGCAGTCCGCGGGGATTCGCCGCTCGCCGCCCATCGCCCTCAGCCACTTTGTTTTGGCAAGTTGTTCGGGCGCGTTGTTCCAAACACCGAGTGCTACGCAGGGCACTGCCATGCTGGCGGTCTCATTCTCGAACCCTTTTCCCAAGCCGAGGTAGACGGAAATGTGCGCCACTGCCACCCCCTGGGGCCTCCACATCATGACTGAGATGTCCTTCAAACTCTTCTGGAACACGCTCCTCCGACTCTCCCCGCGGCGTCAGGAAGGTGTGCTGCCGTCAGTAAACCTGCTCGCGCAAGCCAGCAGATGCCCCCGTGAGTACCTCATGTACTCCTCCCCGTAGATGTAGCTGGAGCCCACGCGCGTTGCTAATGCAACTCCTGGCGCTGCAACTTCATGGCCTCGTTCTTGGCGGCTCCCGAGAGCAAGTGGTGCTCAGCGATGCCGACGGCGTCAAAACTAGTGGGCTGCACGTGGTGTCTCACTTCACCCCCGAAGTGCGTGACGTTCGCAAACAGCACGTGAAGCGAGCGGTCCGCAGACGCGACCGCACTCTTGGGTTTGGAGGCGCCTGTGCCGTGGTTACCCACTGGGGCAATCGGCAGCGGCATCTCCTCCCCCACTGGCGGTCGCTGCCGTCGACGCCCGCGCCTTGGCTTTGACCTTGAACTGGGCTGTGGCCTCGATGTAATTGTTGACAGCCTCGGGGTCTGTGAAGTCTGTGTTGCCTTCGCTGGCCGAGGGCTCCTCCGCTGGAGCCGCCGCTGGTTGCTCGGCTTCTTCATACTCACGCTTGCCATCAGGTCCCAGCGGCTCCAGATCCTCCTTGCCCAGCTCTGGGAAATCGGCTCCGTCTGTGGTGCCCTTCTGCTTCTCCTGCTCGACTGTTGCAGCTGCCCCCACAATGGTCTTGCCCACCAACTGGTCGACCTCAGCCTGGGCTGCCAGGCGCTCCTTCACGTTGGCACTCCGGGCAAGAAGATCCTTCTGATACTGAGCTGCTGCCAACATCTGAGCTATGATTCGGCCCTGCTGCGTCTGGAGCTGTCGGAGCCTGTGCGAGGCGTTGGCAAGCTGCTTTCGGCCGGCTTGATGGGTGGTGGTTTCTTCATCTTCTCCAACTCTGGGCAGACTGCCATCAACGCCTGCTGCTTGGCCTGGTCGTTAGACTCTGTGGCCTTGGCGTACTGCGGCAGCAGGACTGAGGCCACGTGGGTGACTCCTCCTGGCGCTGGCTGCGGACCTGCTCTGAGAATGGAGCGGAGCGTGCCTGCACTGCCTTTGCCTGCCACCACGTCTGATGCTGCTGCTGGTGTAACTTGCCGATCTCGCTCCACAAGGTGCCACAAGACACACATGCTTCCCATCCCTGCTTCCCAAACTTGCTGAGAAAAACCAAGAACGAGGGCAATGCGGACATGTGCTGTAAGGTTGCTGCCGACTCCTGGATGTGGACCTCTGATGTGAGTTCGCATGTGTTGGGCCCCCTCCCATGGAAACTGGCACACGCACTTTCGCCGCCCCGCTGGGCGCCCCTCAAGCCGCGGGCACGCCTGACCGAAACTCCCTGGAAGACTGTCGGCGCACGGTACGCGTGCGTGTGTGCGCGGCGGGCCTCTCCCCCGAAAGAACTCGACGCACAAACGGCTTGATGATGATGATGATGATGATGATGATGATGAGGAGGAGGAGGAGGAGGAGGAGGAGGAGGAGGAGGAGGAGGAGGACGAGGGGGGACCGCCCAAGGCTGCCGAGAGCCGCCAAGACAAGCTGGAGGGGCCCCGCGAGGGCAGGGCCAACACTCGTCCCCGGGAGCCTCGGTGCCTGGCTTGTGCCGTGCCCACTGCCAGTGGCGAGCTCCCCCTGTTCACGCGCGAAACGCGTGCGAGATTTGGAAGGGGCCCTTTTCGGGGAGACGTAAGACTCGGGAACGGGGGACTCCTCCTCCTCCTCCTCCTCCTCCTCCTCCTCATCCTCCTCCTCCTCCTCCTCCTCCTTATCGGTCCTCCTCCAAATATCATCACCACCTCCTCGTCCTCCTTATTCACACCTTCTCCGTGCTCCGCCTCTCTTCTCGCTCCTCCCGTAGTTCTCTCCTGTCCCTCCTCCTCCTCATCTCCCCCATCCCCCCTCCACTTTCGGGGAGACGTAAGACTCGGGTACGGGGGACTCGGGTTGGCCTGACGGGGGCCATCATAAAACTGACGAGACCCACTCTGAAATTTGACGCGGGCCCCCGCTGCAGGCATCCCGCAAAAACGGCTTACTCGAGTCGTACGTTTCCCCCACCTAGGACGCACAAATAAATACACACAAATCCTGGGATTCCCCATCTTGATCCAACTGTTTTAGGTTTTCGTTTCCCCCCCACCTCCAATGCTTTCCCCTATATTCCTGGGCATCGACGATTCATTGTGTCTGTGCGTTTTTTCCTTAGGTCGGGCATGTCCCCCCACAAGGGATTTTGGACACATACACCAAACAGATTCAAACGTATTCAGAAAATGCTCAAAAAGGGGTTCCCCGACTATTATTTGGACTATTTTCAAGTGTTTCTCCTGCAAAGGAGAGGGACAGGCACGACTTCACTTTTTCCCCTCCTGACTCTCACGCGTGAAACGCTTGCGAGCTCCACCACGCCGCTGTGACGAGCGCAGCGGGCGCACGAGCAGTGCCCGTGAAGCGGCAGCAACCAGAGAAGAGAGCGAGGTGCGGGTGACCGGCGGAGGGGGCGGAGGAGCTCCAGAAGGGGCGGCGCGGGGCGCAGGGAGCGCGGTCCACCCGCTGCGCACCGCAGCAGAGCCCCGTGGCGGCGAGCGGCGACCACGGCGACGGACGACCGACGGCGGCAGCGACGATGGCGAAGCGACAGCGGCAGAGCCGCCCGCGGCGACGAAGGAGCGACAGCCACGGGGACGACGAGCGACGCGGCGAAGCCGGCCGCGCACAAAGCCAACCGCGGGCGAGACAGGCTGCGGGCGAAGCCGGGCCTCGGAGAGGCCGCCTGCGGTCAGAGCCCCGAATCATCAAGGGTAGCTCGGGTCCGGGGCAACTCGGGCTCGGCATCCCGAACGGGCACCCAATACTGCACGAAAGCTAGAGACCGGGACGGAGCCGGGGCACAGGGGGGCGCCAGGGCCAGAATACCATGTGACCTCATCAGTGCGGCATCCCTGTGCACTCCTCGGCGCTCAGCCCATGCAAGCGCAACCGACGTGATATCACAACGGAGCTGAACTACCAGTGGAATCAACGAGTATCGGCGCGCTTCGAGCGGAAACCCAGAATCCGCGAGGTGACATGCCATTGGGGCTGAACTGGACTGACTGCTGCGGAGGTTGAACGCAGCTGCCCCACTTCTGTGAGGATGTGTATTCCTGGATGGGCCCCTCCCAGCTCAGCTCGATCCCGCAGTGCCACATCATGAGGCTCAAGCAGTTGCCCCACGTCTGAGCTCAGACACGTCCACCTGGTAGCACGTGAGCCTGTAGGACCATCGGCTCACTGACCCCGCTCGGATCAGATGACGACAGTCTTTCTCTGGCGCACATGCAGCCCGAGTTCTGCGTCGGCCAAGTCCCAGAAACAAGCACACACAAACACACAAACACACACACACACATACACACGCCAACTGACACAAACTCACACACACACACACACACTCTCTCTCACTCTCTCTCTCCCTCTCTCTCTCTCTCACCACGCACACACACTCCACACACAGACACACACACACACAGACACACACACAGACACACACACACACACTCTCTCTCTCTCGCTCGCTGGCACGAAATCGAGAAGACAGGCAGAGAGAGAGAGAGACACAACAAAGTGAGAGCAATGGAGAACGAGAGAGAGAGAGAGAGAAGCGCAGACTCGGGCTCCCGCGCTGCTGGGGCGCCCCCCAGCCACGCCTCGAGGGCGCGCCCCGGCCGCGCCTGGGGGACGAGGCAGACAGGCAGGGGGACCAGGCACGCAGGCAGGCAGGCAGGCAGTCGGGCATCGATCCTGGGAGCCTCGCCGTCCCAGCCGCCCTCGAAGCCCAGGTTCCCCTTGGGCTCCGCCTGCGCGTCGGGCGGGACACGGGCGGCGCTGGGCGCAGCCCCGCCCCGCCGGGGTGGTCGAGCAGTGGCGACGCGTCCTGGCTTGCCTATGGGCTTAGGTCGGGCTTGCCCCCCTACAAGCCGATATTCGACAAAAACTACAAGATATACCACAAATGCCCCAAAATTGTCAAAAATACTTGAAACATCATCCCCTGACTATTTCTTGACTATTTTTGAATTTTCCTCCTGTAGAGGGACACGCCCGACTTAACTATAGGCCCACCAAAGAATGTTCTGAGGACCTTCTGTGGTCTGCATGAAATGTTCTCAGGCCACTTCTGGCCGAGAGTGTCGCGTTTTAACACATCGGGCTTATGTACTGAGAACCTTGTTTTTGTTCTTGGAGCATGGTTGGGGTTCGATCCGGATCGCCGCGGTGGTTGCTAAGGGGATGGGCGGGTCAGAAGTGGATGCTAAAGTGGGTCTGGTCAAGCCTAACCCAGCTTGGAAGTGGGTTGCACGTGCCCTCAGTGGCTTACGGGCGCACAGATCTGGGCTCAGTGGGCGGGTTCCACTGGGCGGAGCTACCTCAGCATCCTAAGCCACACAGGGCACTGGTAACCCACTTATAAGATGGGTTGGGCCAGACCAAGTCCCTTTAACGTCTACTTCTGACCCCCCCCCCTTCCCTTAGCAACTCCCGCGGTGATCCAAGTAAGAACATTTCGGGACGGTCGGTCCTTTGTGGTCCTTGTGTGGTCTGCACGAGGTGTTCTTAGGCCACGTCTGGCTGAGACCGTCTTGTTTTAACGCATCGGGCTTATGCACTAAGAACATTGCTTTTTTGTTATTGGAGCATGCTTGGGCTCTGCGAACATCTCGGGGCGGTCGGTCCTCATGCTCAAGGGGGAAAACAGCCCCGTGGGTGGGCCGGCGGGGCGCCATTGCAGCCGTCCGGCCGGCAGCGGGAGCCCACGAGCGGCGAACATGCAGCCGACGCGCTATGCCATAATGTCGGGGTCGACTGGAGAAGACGCCCCAATCAGCGCTTGCACTGATGAGGCCACGAGCGGCAAACATGCAGTCGACGTGCCACCAAACAGTCGGGGTCGATTGGAGAAGACTTCCCAGTCAGTGCTTTCACTGCTGATCGGGGGCGGCCAACCCTGACCTTCCAGAGTGCTTAAAAAAGCCTCCAGACCTATAGACCTACTTGGATGGCTTAGAATGTCGAAGGGATGTAGGTGTCGAGGTCCTGGTGTTATTTGGTAGCCCTCCTTGAAGGTCAGGGAAGAGGGGGGCGTCCAAGAGGTGGGGGGCGCAAATCATGGCAGGCGGCACGTGCGCGGCCCAGGGGGGGGGGGCCGGGGACGTAATGAAAGAAGAAGAGGCGCCACGAAATCTCGGGGCAATATCATGGCCCGCGCCATGATATCCACCCCCCCTAATAATCACCCCCTCTTGGCCGCCCCCAAGATGAAAGGGTCCTGGCCAATTTCGGTGGGCGGCTGGCTTCCCGGGTTCCCGGTTCCGGGTTCCCCGGGTGCTGGTTCCGGGCCGATTCTGGTAGGCGGCGGAGTTCCCATGTTTACGGATTCCCAGGTTCCTAGTCGGTCTCCTTTATCGATCGGTCTCACCATCAATCTCACTACCCACCTCTCTATCGATCTCACGATCGATCTCACAATCGATCTCACAATCGATCTCACAGTGGATCCCACTGTAGATTGCATGAGCGATCTGACAATCGATCTCACTATCGATCTCACTGAGTCGACTTCACGATCGTCTTCATTATCGATCCTGGTATGGATCCCTTAATCGCTCTCAATATTCAAATCCCGAATTGCCAAACAATTCACTGATTGAGTTTTTCACATGTGAATTGCCCAGCCATCCTGTGGTGGTGGGCCCTCGTTTTGAAGAGGCAGCGCCCCGCGTCTCCTTCTCATCTCCTCCCCCTCCTCCCTCATCTCATTCCTGCCTCTGCCATCCGCATGCTTTTGTTTCGGCACACCCAGTACAACGTTTCGTGGCCTCATAAGGAGCTCCTCCGAAGGCCACAGTGGCTGCTCTCGTATCCGGTTCCCCCGCCCAGTACAACGCTTCGCAGCCCCAGAAAGTGTTCTACCAAAGGCCCCAATGCCTGCTCTCGCATGCGGTCCCCCCACCCTGTACACGATTTCGTGGCCCCATACGGAGCTCCGCCAGAGGCCCCAGTGGCGGTGTCCGCATGCGGTTCCCCCCTCCCCAGTACAGCGCTTTGTGGCCCCATCGGGAGCTCCGCCGACGGCCCCAGTGGCGGTGTCCACATGCGTTTGCCCCACCCAATACAACGCTTCGTGGCCCCATACGGAACTCCGCCGGAGGCCCCAGTGGCTGCTCTCGCATGCGTTTCCCCCACCCAGTACAGCGCTTCGTGGCCCCATCGGGGTCTCCACCGAATGCGCCAAGGGCTGCTCTCGCATGCATTCCCCCACCCAGTACAGCGCTTCGTGGCCGCATAGAGAGCTCCGCCGAAGGCCCCAGCGGCTGCTCTCGCATGCTGTTGCCCCTCCCTGTACTGGGCCCATACAGAGCTCCGCCGAAGGCCCAAGTGGCTGCTCTCGCATGCGGCTCCCCCACCCAGCACAACGCTTTGCGGCCGCATAGGGAGCTCCACCGAAGGCCCCAGTGACTGCACTCGCATGCGGTTCTCACGCCCAGTACAACGTTTCGTAATCCCATACTGGGGTCCACCGAAAGCCCCAGTGGCTGTAACGCATGCGTTTCCCCCAACCAGTACAACGCTTCGTGGCCCCATAGGGACCTCCACAGAAAGCCCCAGTGGCTGCACTCGCATGCGGTTCCTCTACCAAGTACAACGTTTCGTGGCCCCACAAGGAGCTCCACCGAAGACCCCAGTGGCTGCACACGCATGCGGTTCCTCCACCAAGTACAACGTTTCGTGGCCCCACAAGGATCTCCACCGAAGACCCCAGTGGCTGCACTCGCATGCGATTCCTCCACCAAGTACAACGTTTCGTGGCCCCACAAGGATCTCCACCGAAGACCCCAGTGGCGGTGTCGCACGCGTTTCCCCCACCCCGTACAGCGCTTCGTGGCCCCACGGAGAGCTCCGCCGACGGCCCCAGTGGCGGTGTCCGCATGCGTTTCCCGTATCCAGCGCAGCGATCGTGGCCCCATAGAGAGCTCCACCGAAGACGATACTCACTGTTTGGCTACTCACAGCTGCATAGCGTTCAGTCTTTCGCTAGGCTATTTTTTGGTAGCGCGGCCACCATCTGATAGCGGCGTCGAAATCCCCCATTGCAGAAAAAATGCGATGGAATGTAGGGCTGGAATTCTCGGAAGGCGTACCAGGCCTGAGCGGCCGCGGAGAAGGAGGCAGGGGTGATTGGAGAGGGCACGCGAGAGGAAACAAGACCCTACCGAGAGCCACATTGCCATGGGAATGTCTATGGAAGGCATGGGTCGCGAAGCACAGGACACAAGGGCACCCTTGCTTCGGCAGGGTCGACCTACGAATCAGCATCGACTGTGGGGAACGCAGAATACAGGGGAGCGACGGACCGTTTGTGGCCACAAACAACTTCCACGGTATACTTACATCAAAGGAACGGCCGAAAACCCGGGCCCCTTCTGAGCCGAGAGCGGTCCTTATGAGTACAGCGCTCCCCCGGACGTGCTCCCCCGGGGGCCTCCGTCCAGGGGCCCCTCGCCAGTGGGACCGCCAAAGAAAACGACTCGAGATGAAACACCGTTGCGTGGATGCCATGACAGTGGATACCCTAACAATCTGATCATTGAATTAAAATGTGTATTTCGGCGGTGCACGAACCTCCCTTTAGCAAACCACCCTGTAGTGAAAACGGACTAGGACCGAAACCGACGGACCTGGACCCGCAAAAATGACGGCCGCGACGCCCTCTCGCGAACCGAAAACGGCCAATTCGCTAATCGACGTGTCAGGGTAAGAGGTCTTTCAACCTCCGAGTGTGCACAATGTTTGAAAAACTTGAATGTCCCAAACACATTTCGTAATGCATAAAACATGTTTCAATCATGTTTTAGACATCTGGGAACTATTTGGCAACATGCCTCCTCTCCATTGTTGATCGTCGTCCGCAAAAACACCTGTTCCGGGACAAGGGTCGGGACCTCTGGGGGTCGACGTCACGACAGAACCAGGGCGTCAGGGGCCTGAGAGCCTGTGCGTCTCCGCGTCCCTTCGGCCTGGATTCCGCGGATACGCGGCCGTATGCGGCTACGCCCCGCGCGGAGCACCCGCGAAAAACAAGCGCCCCGCGTCCACGGTGCCGCGGCCAGGGTGGGGGAGCCAAAAGGGTCGCCAAAAGGTATACCGATGCCGCTACGCCACGGACCTCGCGAAGGGGCGCGTTCTGACCAGGAGTTCGATGCGAATCCGGCGGTGGCGACCAAAGCTCTGCCCAGGAGGCCCGAACAGGGGGAAGACGGGCGAAGGGTATAGGGCAGCATGTGTGGGTCCCTTATCGGCTACACGCAAGAGTGACCCTGGGTAAGAGTGACCTTTGGTGCGCGGGCCTTTGGGGGGCCGCGAGGGGACCAAACCTGGGCGCGCAAGCCGCTGCTCCTGCTTCGTTTTCAGCCATCTGGGGACCCATCTGTGCCCGCACCAAAGGTCACTCCGGCGAAAGGTCACTCTTACGTCTAGTCGATCCTCCGACAGGGGGCCCGTCCCGCGAGGTTGCTGCTGATCTGCGTTCCTCGCCGACGAAGAGCTGAGCAGGGACCGACCGTCCCGGCACTCCTGTGGGCCTACGACGAACTGTTCTTCGAACCCAAAAATGTTCCAGGACACTGTCGTAGAACATGTAGCCCCATGTGTTGAAACCAGGCAGCCCCAACCAGGAATGGTCTAATACAATTGCATGCAAGCCAGTAGAGGACATTCTCTGGTGGGCCTACTCCAAGTCCCTTATTAATCGTCCCCGGGTCCGGTTTTTTATCGGGCGCCTTTTTGTTACTTGAGGGTC